GTCCAGAAAGTCCTGCATCCTTCTTTCTCTCCAGGATTAACACAATCACAATCCCAGGCCCTGATCTGTACCTTTTCTTCCCAGCATGGAGATGTCCCCACTCTTCCTTCCTCTACACTCTTCTGGGATCTCAGTGCCTGCTAAAGCACTGACCGCTCACCACTTTTGATCCTCTAAAGCCCCCAGAACAGAGGAGATGATGCTGAGGGACAGAAATGATGTCTTCAGCTCCCTCTGGCTTGATGTCTTCCCATGCCATGGTCTGACTGGAAAAAATCCCATCCCAGCCTGGCTGATGGAGCCGGCAGCACCAAACCTTCCCCCTGCCAGGGGGGTTTCACCGGGGAAGAGCCGAGCGCTGCCGGTGATGAGGACAGTTGGACAGAGGACAGACAGACAGCGAGGGGCTGGGGGCTGGTGGAAAGGGCAGATATGTACATTGCGGTGGAGAAGCCCATGGAGCAAACTGCCAGGGCAGGCTGAAGGAAAGAGGCAGAACTAGAGGCTGGGAAGAGCTCGAGGAGGTTGAGCTCTGCCTGCCAGATGGTTTTATGGGCTCTCCTGACACAAGAAACTACCCCTGCCACAGCCATAATATTTACAGAACGCAGCTTGTTTTGAACACATACAAGCCTAATCCTGCAACAAACAAATAACTGATGTTTGTAAATCTTGGGTTGGAAATCCACATTTTGGGTGAATACACTCAGGACGTTTCCCACAAAAGCAGAAGGTGAGAAGCCCTGGGAGACTCTTGAGCAGAGCACACGGGTAGATCGCACGACATTAAGCTGGTGTACCTGGGTGCTTTCCTTATCGTGACCTGGTTGCACTTGGAACTGTTGGCTTGGTGAGGGGATGTGGGATTCTGCGGTTGGGGACACAAATGCAGTGTCAGCGAGGGAGAGAGGAGGCAGTTTCGGTCCTGGGGTCCCCACGCGTGCCAGTTCCCAGCAGGAGCATCCCTTGCTCCCAGGTGCAACAGGAGCTGTTTGCATCAGGAAGCATCTCACCTCACTTCAGCTCTCTAGTAATCATGGAATTGTCACAGAATCACAGGATGGTTTGGGTTGGGAGGGAGCTTAAAGATTGTCTAGTCCCACCCCCTGCCATGGGCAGGGACACCTCCCACTAGCCCAGGTTGCCCAAAGCCTCATCCAGCCTGGCCTTGAACCCCTCCAGGGATGGGGCATCCACAGCTTCTCTGGGCACCCTGGGCCTCTGCCTCACCCCCCGCACAGGGAAACATTTCTTCCCAATATCTCATCTAAACCTCCCCTCGTTCAGTTTAAATGACATGGGGCTGTCTGGGAAAACCATCGTGGGCTGCTGACGGACGCACAAGCGTGTTCCCAGAAACTGCAGATTTGAAGCTCAAGTGTTGCTGTGAAATTGTGACACACAAGTAACAAACCCAGATCTGAATCAGAAATAGTTTTACAGCAATGTCAAGCTTGTGGTGCAAGGTCCTAATACACTCCTGGAATAATAGGAGAAAAGTTCTGCCAGTTCAAAGATCTGAGTATTTTGGGATTGGGGTTGCTTTAAAACAAAATGAAAGAGGAACCTGACACGGAGACAATCTGCTTTTCCCATAGGTCTAGTTTCTGAGACTTTTTTTGGTTAGTCATTTCCTGTACAAAGCCAAGAATAGATTATAACCAGAACCCTGATACTGTCAAACGCAACAAAATAGTTCCCTGTTTGCAAGAACCCTTGAGAACATGACTTGCTTGGCCAGCTCCGAGAAAAGCGGTTTGTGAAAGGAGCTGAGAGAGACCCCGTGCAGGCTCACCAGGGCAGGCTGCGGTCCAGTTTTCCAAGTGACAATTCCAGGAAACCTCATCACGGGGGTGGCTGCTGGCGAGGGCGAGGTGATGTGAGTCTCCAGTGCGTCTGCTCCAGCGAAGATCTCCAGGGTGCGAGAGGAAAGAAGGTCAGGCTTTTCTGGGTGCTTGGTTTGGTTTTTCTTTTTCAGGTTAATCAGTACCTCTCCTCATTTGTTTTGAACCTGTTGGTCAATTTGGACCAAATCTGAATGGGGAACAGTGGTCTCTAGGATATTAAGACCTATAAATATTGTGGGAAAAGGTGGTAGGGGAATACTGAAATGAGTGCCCACTGAAGGAACTTGGCAGTTTAGTAATATCAACTACAATAACACCTGATCTGCCCCCAAAACCACTTGCTTTTTGACATCTCCAAGGACAATCCTTTCATCTTATTATTTCCCTCCTCCAGATCTGTCCTGTCCAAAGCCAGGAAGGAGGCACCTCTCAAGCTTTTGCTCCACCTCTGTCCATGCTCTTGTGCCAGGCAGGTCATACCGATCTCCCCCCATCTTCTTTTCCATCTCTCCTCCCCTTCATTCCTCTCTGTTTTCCTCCACGTGGAAGCTGGGCCATGGCTGCAAAGACCTGAAAAGCTGAGTGTGGGGGACAGCAGCATTGCTAACGTGTCTCTGTTTCGTCTCATCCCTCCAGCTGTGGGAGGAGGAAGGACAAGCAGCAGAGGTTTTGTAACAAGCACGTCGGTCCCTGCCATGGAAGGACCCTGCTGGAGCCAGCCCAGTGGGATGGTGAATAACGGGAGCTGGCATCACAAGCTGCTGGGACATGAGGATAATCACTACAACTGGACTGACTGTGAAGCCGGTCACTCGAACAAAGTCCCTGTCACGCTGCTCATCGCGCTCTGTGGGCTGGCGGGGAACGGTGCTGTCCTCTGGCTGCTCGGCTCCCGCGTCCGCAGGAACCCCATCACCGTCTACGTCCTCAGCCTGGCCGCCGCCGACTTCACCTTCCTCCTCTCCATCGCCATCGCCCTTGTGATATTTTACGGCCCCGAGAGCCTTTGTCACAGTCTGGGCTCGCAGGACGTGACAACCGTGTTGAATATCACCATCCTCTCCACTTTCACCGCCAGCATCTACCTCCTGACCGCCTTCAGTGCCACGACGGCTCTGTCCATCCTCCCCCCGTCCTGCTGTCCCTGTCACCGCTCCTGGCACCTGCCAGCGCTCGTGTGTGCCCTGCTCTGGGTCCTCTCCTTCCTGCTCACCCTGACCCTCTACTTCTGCCCTGCGGCACTCGCTGTCTTCATCCTGAGTTACCTCTTATCGGTCCTTACCCTGATTTTTTCTGGTCTGACCCTGCTTGCCAGGATCTTGTGCTGTTCATGGCAATATCCCCCCAGGAAGCTCAGTGCTGTGGTCCTGCTGCCTGTCTTCTTCTTCCCTTTCTTCACCGCTGATTTTGGTTACTGGCTCTTGCTGAGACTGTTTGATTTTTCTGTTTTTGTCTTTGATGCCTCTCTCCCGCTCGCCTGCTTGAACAGCAGCATCAAACCCGTCATTTACTTCTTGGCTGGGAGCTGCGCAAAGAAGTTCACACTCTCTGTTAGGGTTGCTTTCCAGCGGGCTTTCGAAGATGTATCAGAGCCCCAAAATAGAGGCGGAACTCCCAGAGAAACTTCCAGCTGTTTAAACCTCTGCAGCCCCTCCCTGAGAGAAGATGCTCTGGGGATGGAGGCGTCTCATGAGCCGGGGCAAGACAAGGACAACGGCTTCGGTGTGGGTCTGGCCGCAGCTGAACGGAATTAGCTGCAGCACAACGAAACGTGCTGGGTGGCGTGGGAACTCCTGCTGGGGTGGACACCGACAGCGTGATGAAATACCCGTCAAAACCTTTTGCTTTAAAACCTTTTGCTTGGAATCT